GACTCTTACCACAGCATGTACCCATACCTGCTTTCTGTCTCTCTGTTTCTGTGGTGAGCACACATGCCCTAGAGCAAAAAATCTCTCTCTCAAAAAAATAAATAAAATAAAATAAATAAGATACCGATAAGGTTAATAATACAAAAATATGACTATTTTTTGAAGTTTCTTTTTCTTTTTTTTTTTTCTTTCCATTTTATTTGCTATAGGGCATGTGTGCTCGCCAGAGAGACAGAGAGAGAGAGAGAAAGAGAGAGAGAGTGGGCAAGCACCCTCCGGGGAAGAGAGAGGATGGCCGCACTGCAATTTCTCTCCTCTGTTCTCCTTTTGGGATTTTCCCCCTCTGGCTTTTTCTTTTTCCTTTTTTCCCCGTGATTTGTGGCAGCATCTTCGCAGAATAATTTTCTGTAAACCACAAGATTATTGTCAACTTCTGTGATAAACATCTCTTTAAAACTTGAATAATGGCCTGTAAGTGACATTCTTTAAAATAATAACGTTGGGACCAGCACAAGTGGCATCGTGGTTAAGGCGCTGGACTCCCACGTGGCTGACTACAGTTCGAGTCCTGGACCTGGCAACTTGAAACTCACTCTGGGCGCATGTCTGTGCGTGCCCAAAATCCTGAAAGGAGAATGGAGGAGAAGGGATTGTGGCATGGCCTTTCCCCCTGGGGGGTGACTTCACTTTCTGTCTCTCTGTCTCTTTGGTGAGCGCACATATCCTAGAGCAAAAATCTCTCTCTCCAATAAAAAAATAAAATAAAATAAAATAAAATAAAATAAATAAGATAATAGTAAGGTTAATAATAGATAACGTTTTTGGATTTTTTTTTTTTCACTTTACTTGCTATAGGGCATGTGTGCTTGCCAGAGAGAGAGAGAAAAGAAGTGGGAAAATACCCTCTCTGGGCACGGGGAGAGGATGGCCACACTGCAATTTCTCTCCTCCCCTCTCCTCTCGGGATTTTGGGCATGCGTGCACACATGCACCTGGTATGTTTCACAAGCCAGTGGGTCCAGGACTCAAACTGTGCAATAGACCATGAAGGACTCAGCCACCTTAACCACCATGCCAGCAGCTGACCCAAGTGGGAAAATACCCTCTCTGGGCACGGGGAGAGGATGGCCACACTGCAATTTCTCTCCTCCCCTCTCCTCTCGGGATTTTGGGCATGCGTGCACACATGCACCTGGTATGTTTCACAAGCCAGTGGGTCCAGGACTCAAACTGTGCAATAGACCATGAAGGACTCAGCCACCTTAACCACCATGCCAGCAGCTGACCCAGAACTGACCTTTTTAAACACCTTGTATACCAGGCTTGGCCAAATGTCATTTAATCCTAAGCCAGTCCTCGGAAATAGGTGCTCTTGCTAGAACCTTCTTAGAGAGGTGGAAAAGGAACCGAGGCAGTTCACCTCATGAGACGTGGCAAGTTCGTGCACAGTTGAGATTTGAACTCGTGTCTCTTTGACTCCAGAGTCTTCGCTCTTAACAAGTATAGCACGTATCTTATTGTATCTGTATACCGTATCTGTTGGATCATGCTTAAGAAATGATTATTAGTTGGGAACCAGCAGTTAGCATAATGGCTATGTTGCTGGATTCCCACGTAGTCGACCACGGTTTGCGTCCCGGACCCAGTGGCTTAGAACTCATGCCGGGCGCTTGTGCGTGCGTGCCCAAGATCCCGAGAGGAAAATGGAGGAGAAGGGATTGCGGCGTGACCATCCCCCCGGGGGGTGATTTCTCACTTTCTGTCTCTGTGTCTCTCTCTGTCTTTCTGGCGAGCACACGCGCCCTATAGCGAAAACCTAAAAAAAAAAAAAAATAGAAATGATTATTAGTAAAGACAAAATATTACAGTATGAATAAAGAACATCAAAACAGAAACTAACCACAAACAGAGATAGAGTTACCACTTGGCTAATAACACTTTCTTCTGAATTAAATTCCAGTTAGGGGTGGGACTATATCTTGAAGCTACACGTTGTCAGTTGGTCAGGAAAGAAAATTTTCCTAAGAATTCCAAGTTACATACTCATCTCAAACACAGATACACACACCCACACTCCAGGAACTGTGAGTCCGAGTTAACCAGTAGTCTATCTCTAGAGAGTTTTGACTCTGGGTCAAGACTAGGAAATATTTATAAACCTAGGAAATATTTCCTGTTTTAATGGCATCCTTTGCACTATCAGATGCCCTAGTTCAAAATTAAGATCCCAGAGAGGGACCAGCAGTTAGCGTAATGGCTATGTTGCTGGACTCCCATGTTGCCAACTGCAGTTCGAGTCCCAGACCTGGCAACTTAAACTCAGACCAGGCGCGTATGCGTGCGTGCCCAAGATCCTGAGAGGAGAATGGAGGAGAAGGGATTGCGGTGTGGCCATCCCTTCTAGGGGGTTGATTTCTCTCTCCCTGTCTCTCTGCCACTCTCTGTCTTTCTGGCGAGCGCATGCGCCCTATATCAAAAACCTCTCCCCCCCCCAAAAAAAAAATCTCAGAGAAAAGTACTCTGAACCAGAGTTTAAAAGGGAACTCACATCCTCGATGGTTTCTGCTGAAGTCTGACTTTACCTTGAAATTTCTCTTTTAACCTAGCAAGTTCGAGCTTGGCCTAAAACGAAGAAAACAACAATCCTAGGTCATAGTTCAGGGTAGTATTAGTGTGACCGGGAAGTCTATTTTTCTGTGCTTGTTTTTTGTGCCAAACGGTGAGTGCACGATTTATTTCAAATGCATTGCTACATTTGTTTAATGCCAGCAGCCTGGGGTGTGGACGAGTGTGTTTTCAGTGTGTGTGAGGTGTTGGGAGGCCCCGCCTCGAGGGATTTGGCATCCCTGTGGATGGTTGGACCTCTGGCATCCAGTGTGGCAAGTCCCTTCAGGTTCTTTCTGGAAGAGCCTCTGCGAAGTTCTGCAGCCGAGGGCTAGCTGGGAAACCGCCGCCACCCGGCTGCCCGCACCACACCACCAGCCGAGAACCACGCTGCCAGCTGCTGACCTGCCCTGAATGGAATCCGGGAGAGGAGGCCGGCCTCCACCCGAACCCGCAGGCCAGGCCTCTCACACTGACTTGTGCCCGTTTTCCTCCAAACACAAAATCCTACATAAGGGCGGGACCAGCAGTTGGCGTAATGGCTATGTCGCCGGACTCCCTTATAGTTGACCGCGGTTCGAGTCCCAGACCTGGTGGCTTAAACTCACGCCAGGTGTGTGTGTGTGCGTGCCCAAGATCCCAAGAAGAGAATGGAGAAGGGATTGCAGCGTGGCCATCCTCCCGGGTGGCAATTTCTCGCTTTCTGTCTCTCTGTCTTTCTCTGTCTGTCTGGTGCATGCACGCACCCTATAGCAAAAAAAAAAAAAAAAAAAAAAAAGCCCTCTCCAAAGAAAGCAAGCTGCCAGGTCCAGGACTTGAGCCGCAGTGGGCCATGTGGGAGTCCAGCACTTAAACCACCATGCCACCTGTTGGCCCTGGTGTAATTGTTTCTATTCATTCTGAATGCTACTATGGGTGCATGATAAAGCACCCATGTATAAATGAAATGTGTAGCTTTGTGTGAGGGCGAAGGTTGGTGTAGTATTCACTAAACTGACCAACTGTGGGGATGAGACAGGGATTGCGAACCGGCACTCCCAGGCTGCAGATCTGGGCTTAAGTCCGAGTGGTCATTAAGCAGGCAGGTCGTAAAGCGAGGAGGAGCTGTGTGAACACATTGTGTTTACCATTCATCTGTTGGTGGACACCTGGGTCGTCTCCACGTTTTGGTTTGCCGTGAGTAATACTGCTGTGACCATTGGTGTACAAATACCTGTTCTGGTCTGACAGAGACAGAAAGAGGGAGAAAGTGAGAAATCACGCACCTGTGGGGGGTTGGCCACACCACAATCCTTTCTCCTGTTGAGATTTTGGGCATGCACGCACATGCGCCTAGTGTTTCAAGCTGTTGGGTCTGGGACTCAAACCATGGTTGGCCATGTGAGAGTCCAGTGCCTTAACCACAATGCCACCTGCTGGTGCCACTATTCTGAACTTCTAAAGAGCTGGTTATGTTACTGGCACCAGCAGATTCCAGACTGAAAACAAACAGAATTTGTTATTATATGATTGGGGTCAGAATTAGGAATTCCTCCAAACCTGACCATTGTAAGACTGTTTTGGAGGGACTCCATGGCACAGTGGCTAAGCCTAGTGCATAGACAGCCACATCCCTCATGAGCAACTCTGGTTTCAGTCTCGGCCTCAGTAGCTTTAAAACATGCCAGGCGGGACCAGCAGTTAGTGTAATGGTTATGTCGCTGGACTCCCATGTAGTCAACCGTGGTTCGCGTCCGGGACCCGGTGGCTTAAACTCACGCCAGGCGTGTGTGCGTGCGTGCCCAAGATCCCGAGAGGAGAATGGAGGAGAAGGGATTGCAGCGTGGCCATCCGCCCTTGGGGGGTGATTTTCTCGCTTTCTGTTTCTGTCTTTCTGGCGAGCGCATGTGCCCTGTAGCAAAAACCTCAAAAAAATTTAAAAAAATGCCAGGCGCAACAGGATGGAGAGGGGGTGGCGGTGTCACCATGGTGTCATCACACTCCATTGGCGGGGGGGGGGGGTGCCTTCTCCCTGTTCCTCTCCCTGGTTAATACATATGCCCTCTGGCATTAAAAAAAAAATTTAAAGACTTTTTATATAAATTGGTAGTATCAAAGTACAGTAAAGAAAATAAAACATCAACTCCCCCTACTTCAGCAGGGTGGTAAGTTCCGTTCCTGCTGTAGTCACTAGTGTTTTATGGAGTAAACAGGTGACATCTTGAACTGTGTCACACGTGTTTATATATGTTCCTGGTATTTCCTTCCAAGGTTGTAAATATGTGTGTGGGTGTACAAATCAAACACCACTCTATATCCTTAGCTTACATTTGGAAGGAGGGAAAGTTCTTCATGTTCAAATCTGATACTGAAATTTCTGTTTCAACCTCAAACTATCATTTCCAAATTAATCCTAGAACAAAACTTCGTGAAATTGGAGGTGTTCTCAAACCAGCTTTCAGGCAATTGAAGACCAAGACAACCAAAGGTAATAGAACGCATACCCAACAGATGTTTTTAAAACCCTGAGAAAGTTTATCTTTTTTTTTTTTTGGAGAGGTTTTTGCTATAGGGTGCATGAGCTCACCAGAAAGACAGAAAGAGACAGAAAGCGAGAAGTCACCCCCCACAGAGGGGATGGCCAAGCCACAATTCCTTCTCCTCCATTCTCCTCTCGGGATCTTGGGCACGCACGCACACGCACCCAGCGTGAATTTAAGCCACCGGTCTGGGACTCGAACCATAGTCAACTACATGGGAATCCAAAAACGTAGCCATCATGCCATCTGCTGGTCCCCATTTAATCTCAAAGTAATGAAAATGAAATAAAATTTAACATTCACTTCTTCAGTCCCTCTTGTCCCTTGTAAGCCACATGTGGCTGGTGACAGCTGGTGTGACAACAGCTCTGGTTATGGCGTTTTGTTCCAGTGTAAACAGCACGTTTTACTTCATAGCACTAGTTTCGGAGAAAGAGCGCAGAGTCTGAAGCCAGACCCCTTAGAACTGAGTCTTCCTACAGACGGCACATGCTGTGTGAAATAGGGCAGCTTACCCAACCTCTCTGAGCCTGTTCCCCCTGGGCATATTGGGACAACGAATAGGCCACTTACTGTGTACGGAGGTTGGGAAGATTAAACGAGAGAAAGTAGGTGAGAGTTCTCTGGAAACTGGAGTGTGGTTTACCTGGTAGTTGCTTCACAAATCCCCTCATTTGCAATTAGTTCATCTAGATCTTTGTGGGCTGATCCAAAGCCATTGCTTGAACATCACCATAAAAATGAGATTTGCGGGAACCAGCAGTTAGCGTAATGGCTATGTTGCTAGACTCCCACGTAGTCGACCGCGGTTCGCGTCCTGGACCCGGTGGCTTAAAACGCATGCCGGGCGTGTGTGCGTGCGTGCCCAAGATCCCGAGAGGAGAATGAAGGAGAAGGGATTGCGGCGTGACCATCCCCCCTGAGGGGGGGTGATTTCTTGCTTTCTGTCTCTCTGTCTCTCTCTGTCTGTCTGGCAAACGCACGCACCCTATAGCGAAAATCTCTCAAAAAAATAAAAATGAGATTTGCCAGTGCCCTTTATTTTTTTTTCCAGTTTATTTATGTTTTCTGTGACAAGAGAGAGACTGGCTCATCGCTCTACCCCTAGCCTCACGTCACCGGGAATCTAGGGCATACTGGACTCTCTGACCCAGGCGGTCGGGGAGGTCTCCTGCAAACCCGGTTACACTCAGCTCTGACTACGGTGCCTAGACCAAGTTTCTGGCAATCTGATGGTCCGTGTCTTTTTTGGAAGAAAGCTTCATACAGGGGCCAGCAGGTGGCATGGAGGTCACAGTGCTGGATCTCACATGGCCAGCTGCATGGTTTGAGTCACAGACCCAGCAGCTTAAAAATCACACAGGGCACGTCTGTGTGTGTGCCCGAGAGGAGACGAGGAGAAGGGATTGCAGTATGCCCATCCCCTCTGGGGGGTGATTTCCCACTTTTTCCTCTCTCTGTGTGTCTCTCTCTCTGACCAGTGTGCATACCCTATAACAGAGAGAGAGAGAAGCTTAATACACCTCTCTGTATCTGTCTTAACTAATAACACCCCCTCAACCTTTTCTTTCAACAATTAAACTCTTCACTGTAACTACATCACTCTATTTCACTTCCGCAATAAAAAGACCACCTTCCAAAAGGAAAAGAAAAAGCCTCTGTTTACCAAAGACATTAAATGGGGTTTGTAAAAAAAAAAAAAAAAATTACTGAAAAAGGAAATCAATCCGACTTGGCAGGGCAGGAATTAAGCAAAAGGTGTTGCCGTGTGCTGCAAGAACGGGAGGTTGTCACCTGCAATGACAGCTTCTCTTCAGCGCCAAAGCTGCTGAGGTCCTGGAAGCAGAAGTGCTTGCTCTGTGGTTTCTGTTTTCCTCCCGTGTCACTTCTGGTTTTCCCCACAAAAACAGCCTGACT